TTGCTAATAATATTGCTGCCTGTCTCTTACAGGTGGTGTGCTGGAAATGCTCGGACTATAAAGCGCCGCTTGAATACGACGGGAACAAAATGAACAAAGTGTGTAAGGACTGCCACTGCATCCTGACTGGAGAGGCGATAGCGGAGGGCAAGAAAAAGGGGATTCTCGAGGTGAATAAACCTGATGTCGTCTAATACGAACCCTCATTTATATCAGTGAAGATAAGATGAACGACAAAAACAACAAAAACATTTCTGTGAAACAGCTTCAACAATTTTAAAATAATAAGCTTGATGAAGGGTGAATACATTGTGTGGCTGATGGATTAGACAACAATAGTTGCAGCTAACTTACTTAAAACAAGTGACTGTGCACTTGAAAGTTAAAATGGTAATGGGAGTAAACCGTCATGTGACAGAAATAACATCAGCTGTGCTCATGTTTGCAGATTGAAGCCGGTCAGTTTGCAGACAGCAGCATCATGTGTGGCTTCCTGCAGCACTCTGAGAAGAGCAAAATTTGGCAGAAGTGTTGGTGCGTCATCCCTGAGAAGGAGAGTCTGGTGCTTTACCTCTATGGAGCTCCACAGGTAAAACCACTACTTCAAGCCAAAAATATGATTGGATATGTTAATTTAGCAGATCATTTACAGTGAAGACGATCTCTTCTTTGACTTTCCTCTCAGGATGTAAAAGCACAGTGCACCATACCCCTGCTGGGTTATTCTGTGGACGACACCGCCCGGCCCACAGACCCACCGGCGAGCTTCCACATCTCCCAGTCCAAGTCCACCCACAACTTTGCTGCTGAGACCGAGGAACTTAAGCAGCGCTGGTTGAAAGTAATTCGAGTGGCGGTGAAGGGAGAGATACCGGAACGTCCCGAGACCAACGGCAGCGGCGTGTCGGATAACAACAACACGGAGGAAGCCAGCACTGATAACACATAAGGGCTTGTTGTCTACAAACAAACATGCAAACTGCAGGTGGATTGTTCAAATAAAAAGATGGGATGTGCAGATTTATTCTGCACGCACAAAATACGAACACTTGCTATCCGTTCTGTCGTCGAATCTTTATCTTAAAGACAGCACGGGAAACAAAGTGCTGGATAAGCTGCCTCTCCTCGTGTCTCTCGTGTGTCTTTGTTAACGCCTGGATTTTCTCCTGCAAGATTCACTGCTACAGCTGTGCTGGATTACTAACAGACACTTCTGATACAATCAACACTAGAACAGAGGGGGCCTCAGGATAGATCACCTTCCCTCAAACAGGCACTATTAATGACAGCGCAAAATCACTCTTCATGGACTTGAGCCAGTGGACTACTGCAGACTTAACAAAGTACCCTGTGAGGATGTGAATCACAGCAGGAAAGGTGGTCCAACTAAGTCTGCTGGTGCTGTATTTCTCTGTACATGTACAGTATAAATGTTTGTTTTCCCCCTAAATGAACAGTTTTGTTTTTATGTACAGACATTAGTCAGACTTTGTTTCTATTAAATAGAAAAACCTCTAAATGTGCTATAAAGAATTTACAGTATTTCCCCTTTTCTTTGAGATTGTTCCAAATCTGTAACAGTGATCATGTGGTTGGATAATGATGATCTCATTTCTCCTCTTAAAAGCAAAAGAAAGTTTTAACCTTTTAATCTGAAACAAACTTACAGATGAAGCAACATTAACGTGTAAAGATGGATTCTGTTAGAAGTAGAGCCCGATGGATGCAG